ATTAGTAGACCTATATTACGCAGGGTGCCTGGCCTGCTCAGTCAGAAGAACTTGTGACTCTTGATCTCGGGAAGGGGGGCCAGAGGATGGGGGGGGAACCAACTTAAAAAAAAAAGTAGACTGGTATTACAAAACATTATACTCAATTATTTTTTAAGTTGTATCAATAAAAATTTTATAGAAATTTGTTTTTTCTTATAGAGCTACCTCTGTAAGAGCCTCAATTTTACCTCTTGGCCCACAAAACCTAAATATTTACTCTCAGACTCTCCACAGACAAAGTTTGCTAACTCCTGTTTCAAGGGATTACTCTGACCACAGTGTTGAGGATAGACTGTAGGACAAGCAAGGGTGGAATTAGAGAAACCTGTTGGGAGGCTGTCGCATTAATCCAGGTGAAAAATGAGGTGATGATAATTTGGACCAGGGTGGTGGTGGTGGGGTTGACGAGAAATGGTTGGATTCTGAAAGTAGACTTCATAGCATTCCTTGAAAGATAGAATGTGATATATTAGAGGATGAGAGAAAAAGTGACTCTAGGGATTTAGGCCTAAGAAAGATGAAATTACCATCACCTGGGAAGACTGCTTTGGAACAGTTTTGGAAAAGAAGATCAGGGGTTCTTAGTTCAGTTTGAGATGTCTAGTAGACATCCAGGTGGAGGTGTCTAAGTCAGCACGACATTTAGGAGAGAGCGCTGGGCTGGAGATAGAAATTTGGGAGTCATACATGGTATTTTGAGCTGCAGACTGGGTAAGTTCACCATGGTAGAGAGTATAAATGCTTACTGCGTATGATGTGCCTTGATATTTTCCTTTCTATTTATCTCATTTAAAAAATAATCAAGACCCACTAAACTGATTTCATGACCCACTGAGTCATGACCTACAGTTTGAAAAATAATGTCTAAATCTTTTTGGGATCTGTGGATTCCTTTTACAGAGTTTCTAAAAATGATAGACAACTATTGATGAAAATAGTAATGGTAGCAGAGTTATCCCAAGGTAGTTGGATATGGCTTACTAACACCAAGATGTCCTAATCCACAAGAATCATTTGAAGTTTTGGTGCATGGAAAGGAATATAAATGAAGAGGGTTTGCTTGGTCATTTACTATTGGAGTTCCTCAAGACTCCAACCTAGGCTCTTTTTCCTTTCCACTCTGTATCCTCAACTGATACAGTCTCATGTACACCCATGACATCAGTTACCTCCTCTGTATGTTGATTATCCTTAAAATTTTATGTCCAGCCCTCACCTCCCTTCTGAGACTCAAATCTCTAAATCCAGCTGACTACTTAAAAGTCCCAAAGATACTTAAAATTGAACATATCCAGAGGCAACTGGGTGGCTCAGTTGGTTGAGCGCCTGACTCTTGATTTTGGCTCCGGTCATAATCTCATGGGTTTGTGAGTTCAAGCCCCACGTGGGTCTCCACACTAAGCATG